CAATCCTTGCAGGCTCCACTGAGGTCATCCAGGCATCTTCGGAACCAACAAGTTGGGAACTGGCTTCTTAACTAAAGACCAGCAACACAGTAGCCTCTCTCTCTCTCTCTCTCTCTCTCTCTCTCTCTCTCTGAACCTTAGTCCCTCGTACTGTCGATCCGTCTCTGTGAGGTTGAACTGCAGCAAGACCCCCAGACAGTGGAGATTCCGTTCCTCCTTCCGCACGAATTTCTGCATTGCTTGTACAACTCAGGCCGTGTGCAGGCCGGGTGGCTAAATAAATAAGTCTCACCTTGAGCTTATCAAAAGACCCGTGTAATTTTGGGGTTGCTAGCCTAGACCCCTGTGCAGTTTAGCCGTTCAATGACTGGTGGGCTCACTGGTGCCGAGATCAAGAAGTTTTGGCAGCATGCGTTGCAGCATACTGAGTGGAGAGATCATCCAGTACTCAATGATCCCAAAGCAGACTTGGAAAGCTACTTGGTAGAGCACACTCCGAACTTGTTTTGTGTACATCAAAGTTGACAATATACAAGGAATTCTGCCGGTTGTTTTTCACGTGGACGGCGCAGAGTTCTACAAGAACAACGAATATGTTGTTTGGTCGATGAGTTCTATTCATGCAAAGGCAGATGTTTCTCGGCTTTGTTGTGGCTGATAGTAACCTCATCTAGACCCGAATGTCCCGAACCGGCTGCACTAAAGTTAATCTTGCTACTATAGGTGTGGGATTGCAAGCTGCCGCTGTGCATCGTGCCGCATGTGGCTATGAGGGACGATTCCGTGGCAGCGCATGTTCACAAACGTGTTGCTGAAGTACTCGCATGGAGCATGGAGTGTGCAGCGACCGGTTTGGGGCCCAAAGCTGGGGAGGATGGGCTACCTTTTCAGAGTGCTTTCAGGCATCGACTGAAGGGTCAGGTTTTGCCCGGTGGCTACAAACTGGCATACACTGGCTTCAAAGCAGACATGAAGGCACGCATGCAGGCCAACCGCTTTGAGCGGTACTACAACTGCGATTTAATCTGTGAGGCATGTTTTGCCGAGAAAGCAAAACCGAACAAGACGTGCCCATTCACCGACTTCAGCGAAACTGCATGCCATAGACTCACCCGCATTAGTCACACTACTTATATGCGCACGGCTTCAGAAGTGTCACCATGGGCATGCATGCCTGGCTGGAACTTGCACACGGTTCTGTTGGATATGATGCATATTCTTTATTTGGGGACACTTCGGGTCATGATTTCTTCGTGCATCGTGTTCTGGATTCGCTTCAAAGCTCTTGGTGGGGGCACCATCGCTCATCAACTTCTGCGCTTGTCAAGCGAGATGAGGCAAAAGTCTCGCGAGAATGGGTCTACCGGCGGCACCGTTTCCGTATAAACCCTGATCCCTATGTGTTGTTCTGATGCCTAAAACCTTTAAAGCCTAAAGCCCCAGTTTGGTATAAACTATAAACCCATTTTTGTTTTTTGTTTTCGGTTCCCTACGGTAGTCTGTGCTGTGTATTTAAATAGAGTTCTAGATGCGCAATCATGTCTGTGCTTTGTTTGGATAGTAATCCCGAGGATACGACTGAATCTCAGCAGCTTCACTCCGAGCAATGTTGGCATTGCAAGCGGCTTGAACGACAATCCTGAGCTCTGCTCAACCTTTAAAGCAGCTGCTGTTAAGTCTTCACTGTGGTTCCTGGCTTGGAAAGCCGAAGAGATTTCGAAAGCACAACCGGAGGCATATCATGAGCACGCATCAAACGTTCAAACATGGTTCAAGGGTTTGGAGGGTTTAGATTTCAGGGTTTTCAACTTGGAAATTCACCGATCCCTGCCAGGTCCAACCGCTGAAGTTCGTGTCGCTGTGCGTTTGGTCGATTCATTCTGCCGTTGTGCAGCTGGACCATGCTGGTTTGCTCATGGACGAGGACACCTCAAAGGTGGGGAATTGGGGAATGTGGCGGCAAATAGAAAAGCCTTCGGGTTTGGAATCTTTCAAAATTTTTTTGATGTTCTGTTTCGCAGGTAGCATACCGACATATCCGACGGCATCTCACTTGCTGGCAATGGCTAGCGAGTTTTTCGCAATCGCAAGGGTGGCATCTGTGGCGACTGAAGCCGAAGCATCACTATTTCGACCATATTTCCGATTTCATTTTGAGAACACGGATCAATCCGAGCATCGGAGCTGTGTGGGAGGAAGAGTCCTTCTTAGGACGATTGAAAAAGATAGCTATCCGCTGCCATTCAGCCACTACAATGAAACGTTTGATGCAAAGGTATCTACTTATGATGGGTCTCAGGCTCGAAGAGTCGCGTCGGGTTGCCCAGCAAATCGGGTAAACAACTTTCACATATAGTCCAACCCCCAGATACTAAGTATATAGCCCTAAGTCTACGTAGCATTCTCAGTGATAATAACATACCTTAACCCTAGGCCGCAAGCTGGGGAAATCCGAGGGCCCCGGCCGGCTCTGCCGATCGGAGTATGCATCGTCCGCCAGCAGAAGGAAAGCAGGATTTTTAGGGTTTAGGGTTTAGGGTTTAGGGGGTTAGGGTTTAGGCTGTACCCTACTTGGAGGTTGATGGGTAGTTATAAGTGGAGCTATATAAGTCCCTAATATAGGTTATAACTATAGTTACCCTACTTATAACCCTACTTAGAACTATACCCATGAACCTCCAAGTAGAAGCCTAGAAGAGCCTTGAGGTGCCTTGCAGGACCGTAAAGTACTAAGTTTACTGACGAGATCGGGTAGTCAAGCCTGTCTATACGATAGGCCTTAGGAGTGAGTATACCCCTATATCTAAAACCCTACAAACGTATGATCTTACGAGCAGTCCCCAACAAAAACTTCCGGTTGTCCAGGGGCGTGTGGTTGCAGCTTATCGTCATAGTATATATTTTGGGTTCAGACCCTTAAGGATTAATCCTCTGAAGCTCGATCAACCCCAACCAGATCTGTGAAAAGCAAAGTCCGAAGCGCGGTATCCTGAACCCCGGAACCTTGCACCTTAACGGGTCCTCTTGAGATCCGGTAACCTGAAAACTACGAGCCCCCCAAGAGACCCATCCTGCTAAACTTGGTCCAAAGATTTAATCTTTCCCGAAACCATCGAAGCCTTCGGCCACACATCTCAAATTATAGGGTTTGAGGCTTGTGTTTCGGACTTAATTTCGGTGGTGTCTATATTTGTAGGACACTGGAGCAGCACACCCTACATATATGTACATATGCGCATTTTTTCAGTTTTGCAAGCCTCGAAAGGCTGAAGATCAAATTCCCCCCATGTACTATACGCAAGCGACGTACGTCGACGTACGTCGACGCATGTTGACGCAGCGGCTTCCCTTGCGCAGCGTTTACGTTGAACAATAAATAAATATATATTTATAATATATATTATATATATAGGTTATATATAGCAATATTAAATTATAAATCGAATTCTGAAGACCAAATCGTTCTCTCGCCACAGCCATTTGCGATTTACGCACGTTGACGCAGCGGCTTCCTCATAATTCATGATCTAGCACCTTTATAATTTAATGTTTATATGTGAAACTCGATCTGAGTCCAATAGACGCTTGCAAGCTGATGTATATACGACGTAGCTGACGTGGACTGACGTAGCTGACGTAGCTGACGTAGACCGACGTAGAGCTGACGTAGACCGACGTAGAGCTGACGTAGACCGCAGCTTGCGTTGGTATATATCGATGTCCTCTGTTTAGCTTTGGATCCTATCGGTATGAATCCATAGCAAAAGTCATCTGCGTGCAATGCTCGCAAGCAATGCATGAGTGATGACGACCGATGACCCTAAGACCCTGTTGCTCAATGAACGTTGGCGCATCAAGCTTGACCCTCGAACCTAGTTCCTTCCAAAAGTCGTCGTGTAATCCTTTTGGACCTGCAAGGACCAGGTCGTCCATGTAAATGCACAACAACAGCACCTGACCTTTTCTGGTGAAGATCCAGTTGGAGGGATAGGAGCCTAGTTCAGTACCCCCAATCTCCTGGAGAGGTGCTCCTCCCACAATTTCCCCGCCAGAGGGTGTCCGTACAAGGACTTCCTCAGTCTCACCACTACCCTATCACCCCTTTTAAACCGGCGATGCCATGAATCGAGCCATAGCTCGGGTGGCAATGCCACCCACGTTTCTTCTGGTAGGATCGATTGTAGAAACGCCTGGACGGCGTCGCTAGACGAAGCCGTGTTCCCGGGCATGCAAGCAAACCACAGGGCAACATTCAAGGCTGTGATGGCAGTGGGATTGGTGGCTGTGTCTGTGAACTGCACTAAATTGCCTAGCTCATCGTATATCTTATCCCCGCGATACACCACTCTGCCCTAGAACTTACGAAATTCTTCGGGCAGCTCAGAGAACTTTTCGCCGCACAGCATTAGGATATCCGCAATCTTTACGGTCCTGTTGTTCTCACGAGCATCGCGCTTCAAGTCACTACGCAAACGAACCGTGCTATCATCCCAGGTCTCGTTGGCCCGCAAACCCGCTGCTTCAGCTTTCACTGCTTCAACGGCCTTTGGGTTTGCAGTCCATTCCTTCCTGGACAAGTTGCGCGTGACGAATGCATGCGAGTGATCAGGTGCGAAGGTGTGAAGCTTGTTTGGATAATACGACTCAATGATAGCCTTTGCCATCTTGCTAGGGCGAAAGACTCTTTGCACAGCGACGTGCTCATGAACATGTGACTGATCACACTGGTACTGCGACAATGTCTCAAAGGTTCTGACACAGTTAGTGCTCACAACCAGAGGATGCTTGACAGGGTAGTGCTTACCGCAAGCTCCTAACATACATCCATGACAGCGAACGCTTCTCATGACATTCTGTTTCTCAAAGTCCACCCAGATTGGGAGTTTTCGCAACTCTGATCCCTCTGGCCACTCAACAGAAAGTCGACCAAAGTTGTCAATGCACTTCTGAAAAACAGGCGGCAATGCAAGAGCAAGCATCCTTTCGTTCTTCTGCCGCTGTTTTGCACGTTGCCGCTTGGTTGAAGTTTCTGCGCTTGGCCCTTGTTGTGCGGAGTGATGTGAGTCAGGCATGGTTGCCCAAACGTCACAACCCGGTAATGACTCAACCTGGCCTAGCAACTGTTCAACATCCTCCTGACTGAGCAAGTCAAGAAGATCATGACCAACACGCACACATTTGACATGTGATTGTTCTGCCATGTTGCTAATCTGCGGGTCAGAACTGATTGAGTAATGGAACAATACTTGATTGACGAAGTTGATTCTGCGATTGCGATTCCGATCAACGTTTGACTTTCGGAAGTCGTCGTCAACTTGCAAC